GTATATATATGTATATATAATATAATATATATACATACATACACACACACACACATATCGTCACTTATCGTTATCGTGATAAAACCTATGAATTATCGTGATAAATTTTTTAGTCCATATCGCCCATCCCTAGAGGTGACAGAAAGAAAGAGGAAGTTCAAACAATCTCTTCCATTGATCATGACGGGCGATGGCTAATTGAAGGGGGACAAGTTGGATGAATTTGAAATCCTAACAAGAACCCAGCCAGACTACGAGGAATGCAGTGTGTTTCACTGAAACATGGCTGCAGGATTATATCCCCAACTCCAGTGTTTCCCTGCCAGGCCTTCCCACAATACAGACAGCCCTGAGCACACACTTCATAAGACTGTCACTGCAACAAAATGTCTTCAGTCAAGGCTTCTTCAGATCCGCTGTAAGACTGACCGCTACAGGAGATTCTTCCTGCCCACATCCACCAGTATGTATAACAACTCTTTAAGGCAACCAGGATAAGATGAATTTCAATAACATTTCCCTTTGAGATTAATAAAGTATTATTGAATTGAAATTTTTACCTTAGAATAATCCGTTTAAATCTACATGGGCAACGATCGACACCGGTCATGTTTCTACAGCAACTCAAAAAGAACAAAAGAAAGGCTGGCAAAATCAAAAACCCTTTGTTTTGTAATAATGAATCTGTCATTAGCTGCGTTTCCATTGACCATGAAAATGCACAAATTAGAATTTCGAAAATAAATTTGCTCAATGGAAACACGTCAATTTCGTTAAAAAAAATTACGTTTTTTGACAAAATGTTTTTGCGCTAGGATGAGGTGGTTTTTCGGCCGTATCGAAATCTGTGTTTTTCGCAAAACTGCAATGGAAACACTTTTTTCACATCACTGGAGTCACGTGATCAACAACCGGCTGTTTCTACTGGTGAAAAAGATGACGACGAACAAGATAACAGGAAGTAGAAGTAGTAGTAATATCACAGAAGTAGTATAAAATAATAAACTCAGCGACTACAATTTCCCAAAAACACAGCATATGTAGCCGCTCCCAAGTAGGGACTTGTCTCTGGAAAGCCTCGATAAAAGACGCCGACGTCTCCTCTGATGATGAGCGCTAGTGTCGTGGTAGCAACATGCTATGTGTTTACATCCATCGCCGCCATGTTTGTAATGACTTATCAAGAGAACAAACATATTCACGTGACTTTAATAACATTTCTTACTTAATGGAAACACTGCAGTTGTGAAACTGTGTTTTTTCGACATTAACAAAAAATCGACAAAGTTTTGCACACATTTGCAACGGAAACGCAGCTAATGTAACCCACCAGTTATAGGACGATTCCTCTAACCACTCTGCCACAGCTGCACCAAATCATTGTTATTATTTAGAGCTTTAAATTCTTATAAAGCTACTTTAGATCAGTGACCACCAAAAAGTATCAATCCAGGCCAAATTAAATCTACCTTCATGGTTATAGACAATCTATAGACTAAGAACAACTAAATCTGTATTTGATGTACAGTGATGTGTGACATCGGACATCTGCCGATGTGTTCTGTGTCATCTCTTCTGCCATCATCTGTTGGGGCAGCAGCATCAGAGCCAGGGACCTAAAAAGGCTCAACAACCTGATAAAGAAGGCTGGTTCTGTTCTGGGGACGACTGTGGAATCTCTGGAGATGATGGTGCAAAGAAGGATTTTACATAAAATCAAGAACATTGTGGACAACCCTGACCATCCTCTTCATCAGACTGTCATAGAAAGACAAAGTGTCTTCAGTCTGAGGCTTCTTCAACTTCACTGTAATACAGACCGCTACAGAAGATCTTTCAGCCCACAGCCATCAGCATCTACAATAAGTTTTTAGTTAAATGAGTTACAACAACACCTAATTTCCCTCTGGGATCAATAAAGTATTTTTGAATTCGAATAAAATATAATTTTTCTCTTTGGACTTTAATATTGTGTGCAGATGCGTGTCAGATATTTAGTGATCCGTTCTTATAGTTTTGTATGGTTTTATATGTTTGGAAAAAGAAAAATAATTCTATGTTGTAAGTCATGTGACTGCATGGCCCAAAAGCACTGGCTTAGGAGAAAGATTGGCAGGGGTGGATGGAGAAAGAGATTTGTTGCTCTTTGTATTTTAGTTTCTTGTGTTTTTTTTCTTGCTGTTTTAGTTGTATTTAGTTAATGCTGCTCGATCAACTACTTGTCCTTTAAATCCTTTACCTGACTGGGCCATCAAGAAGCTGTGGTTGACTTTAGGACCTTATATCCTGGTTTTACTAAATACTTCCTTGTCTACTGGTGATTTTCCTATTTGTTTTAAATCTGCTATGGTTGTACCCATCTTAAAGAAGCCTGGGCTTGATGTCGACTCTGTTGCTAATTACAGACCCATCTCACAACTATCTCTCTTATCCAAGATCTTCGAAAAAGTTGTCTCACAGCAACTTATCAGCTATCTGTCGGCTAATAATTTGTTTGAGACGTTTCAATCTGCTTTTAGATCTAACCACTCTACAGAAACTGTTGTAACTAAAGTGGTAAATGACTTATTGGTAAATGCAGACAATGCTCATCCTTCTGCCCTATTGCTATTAGACCTAAGCGCAGCTTTTGATACTGTTGATCACTGTATCTTATTGGATAGACTTGAACTTGACATTGGAATCTCTGGCAATGTACTCTCATGGCTGAAATCATATTTGACTGGTAGATCTCTGACTGTTTATTTTTAAAATAAGCTCTCTGAGACCTGCACTGCGAAGCATGGGGTCCCTCAAGGGTCCGTGCTGGGCCCCCTGCTGTTCTCATTATATCTTTTGCCCCTTGATCTTCTCCTTCATTCACTTAATATTACTTTCCACTGCTATGCTGACGATCTACAGCTGTACTTGCCTTTCACAGTAGGAAACTGTGCCAACTTGCCTAATTTGGAGGCCTGTCTGTCAGCGATTAGGGGTTGGTTATCTAATATTTTCCTGCTCCTCAACCAAGACTGATTTACTCATCACTGGCCCAAAAAAGTTCCATGGATTGTCTCAAGTTTTTATCCTGTAAATTGTTAATAAGATCATTAGATGTCAAGAAACAGTTAGAAACCTAGGTGTGTGGTTTGATCCGGTGCTTTCTTTTGATTTCCACTTAAAATTAGTAACTAGGACCGCCTTTTACCATCTTAGGAACATTGCCAAAATCAGGCACATTCTTTCTTTCAATGATGCTGAGGTTCTTATTCACGCTTTTGTGACTTCACGCATCGACTATTGCAACTCTTTCCTTTCTGGACTACCCAGGAAAAGTTTTAGATGTCTGCAGATGGTCCAGAATGCAGCCGCCTGTATTTTAACTCATTCTAAGAAAAATGACCACATCACCCCTGTACTGTCATCCCTTCACTGGTTGCCCTGTCAGGCTCGAGCTGATTTTAAAGGTTTTGCTGCTCACCTCAACGCCTTAAATGGCCTGGTGCTTCATTTCTCACCAACCTGTTACATCCTTATGTTCCACCATGATCTCTCAGATCTGAAGGTACTGGTCTATTAATGATTCCTAAAGCTAGAAGAAAGACCATTGGTGAACGTGCCTTCTCTTTTCATCCCATACTCTGTGGAACTATCTCCCTCAGGACATCAGGCAGGCTCGTTCTGTTGACGTTTTTAAAGCTAAGTTAAAGACGCACCTGTTCAAACTTTACTTGTCTTAATTTCATCTTTTAATTGTTTGTATCTGTTTTGTGATTTTATCTTTGCTTTCGATGTTTTTATCTTGTTTTCTGTGATTTTATCCTTGCTTTTTGTGAATTCATCTCTTGTTGTGATTTTTTCTTCTGTTTTATCTCCTGTTCAGTGCTTTGTTTGAAGGTGCTTTACAAATAGTTATTATTGTTTATTAAGTTATTATTATTATTTCTGTAAACAGACTACTTGGTGAATAAGGTACAAGATTAATCTTCATTTTATTTTACAACAGTACTTTACCCCCCCCCCCCCCCCCAAAAAAAAAAAAAACTCCTTGTTTACTGACCCCCCAACAAATGATGAGGTAAATTGTATGCTGTTGCTCTTAGTCTAAAAGTCTAATATGATAGCTGGAGGGGAGTTATGCATCCTTCCAAACAATGCATAATTATGATCTACTAAATCAAAAAAGTCTTTATTTCATTCTTAAACATAAGTCTGACCTGGTATGTGTGGAGAATCTCCAGGAAGGCTTTGTAGATGTCGGGCTGGCCCTGGAAGCGGTTCTTGATCTTGTTGACGTAGTTGATGGCATGGTTGAACTCCACGGGCTGGTTGTTTTGCATGGGTGGGCCAGTGGGGGTCCCGCTGAGGGGTGGGTGGAGCTGCATGGGTGGGGAGCGAGGGGAGGTGTACGCTGGGATGGACAGATTTGTCTGGCTGCTGGTCGTTACTGCCGGCGGCTGAAGAGGCTTGAAGAAAAGAACGACAAAGAGGCACAGAAAGTCACACAAACATAAAAGAGGGAGAGGAAAAAGAAGCTGAACTGCAGACGGGGTCGCTCCGCTCCACCTTGCTCATCTTGGCAGGTATGGTTTGTGTAAGAAGAGGTGGAGCGGTGGTTTTCACAGCAGACGGGAGCGGGGGCGGATGCTGGGTGCCTGCTCCGGTGATGGGAATGTTCTGGACTGAAATGCCGTGCGGTGTGATGTGATGGATCTGACCGGGCGTCGTCACATTCACCAAGTCATTGGTCTGGACCTCAATCTTGTAGCCCGGGGGGAGGAAGGTGTTAAAGCCCATGATAAGGTCGGGGTGGCCTTTGAAGAGCTGCGATACTCTGCTGATAACCCCAGGAGTGTCGATGCTAAAACAAAAAAACAGCACAAACAAGCTGAAACTGGCTGCTGGGGTCACATGAGGTCACCATGACGTAACTCTGTTCTCACCTTTGAGACTTGAACTCCTTCATTATATCTAAAAAGTCATTGTAGACCTGAGGCTGGTTGCCAAACTGTAGTTTGACTTGATCCAAGTAAGACAAAGCATCTTCCACCTAACAGAGAGGAGGAAATCCAAACAGTTTCATCAATAATAGTTCTTGTCTTTTTATGCTACACTTTGCTTTTATTTACCAGTCTGGCAGGTTTAGCCTTTAGTTAGCATTTTCCTGCTGTTTCTACCATTTTTTAACAACTCAGTTGAAGCTTCTTCAGTACAGTGGGGAAAACGTAGTCAGCCACAAACTGTTCAAGTTCTCCCACTTAAAAAGATGAGAGAGGCCTGTAAATGACAACATAGTTAGATCTCAATTATGAGAGTCAAAAGGAGAAAACATATCTAGAAAATCACATTTTCTGAAATTTTAAAGAATTTATTTGCAAATTATGGTGGAAAATAAGTATTTGGTCAAAAACAATGAAGATTTATTCATAGATCTGTAACTCCTCTGTCCTCCACACATTACCTGTAGTAATGGCACCTGTTTGAACTTGTTATCAGTATAGAAGACACCTGTTCTCAACCTTAAATGGTCACACTCCAAACTCCAGTATGGTGAAGACCAAAGAGCTGTGTAAGACACCAGAAACCGAATTGTAGACCTGCACCAGGCTGGGAAGACTGAATCTGCAATAGGCAAGCAGCTTGGTGTGAAGAAATCTACTGTGGGAGTCGTAATTACAAAATGATAGCCCTACAAGACCAGTGATAATCTCCCTTGATCAGAGGCTCCAACAAGATCTCACCCTGTGGGGTCAAAATGATCACAAGAACAGTGAGCAGAAATCCCAGAACCACTCAGGGACCTGGTGAATGACCTGCAGAAAGCTGGGACTAATCTAACAAAGACTACCATCAGTTGAAAGCCTGTGTTGTCCAGAGACAGCCCCAAAACATCACTGCTGTAGAGGAGATGGAGGAATGGACCAACATACCAGCAACAGTGTGGGCCAACATTGTGTAGATGTACAGAAAACATTTACTCTGTTTTTGCAAACAAAGGATATATATAACAAAGTGTTGAAATTAACTTTGTTATAGGGTTGGGCATAATCGTATCGTAATCAGAAAAACATTAATTGATAATTTTTTTGCACTTGACGATTAATACGATTAACGCCACCAGTCAGAGTCCGCTCGCTGCTCCTCTCTGCTTCAAATAAAGTTCTGTAATTTATTTATCTGCCAACACAATTTAAAATATGATGTACAGCCTGAAGTCTGTAATTTTAACACAATTTGAAACATTTTTTTTTACAAAGATCAAATCTTTCCTACTAAATTGGTCATGTGACCAGGACATAAGGGTGTCCAGGGACTCCAGGGGATTAATTATCAAATTAATCGTTATCGGCTAAATACCACAATTAATCGTGAATAATTTTTTGCCAATATTGCCCAACCCTACTTTGTTATGGATCAAATACTTGTTTTTCACCATAATTTGCAAATAAATTCTTTAAAAAAATAATTTAATGTGATTTTCTAGATGTTTTCTCATAGTTGAGGCCTAATTATGATGTCATTTACAGGCCTCTCTCATCTTTTTAAATGGGACAACTTGAACAATTGGTGGCTGAATAAATACTTTCCCCCACTGTATATTTCAACAGTCATTCAACACTCTGCATTCATACTGAATTTTTAAAGAAAATACAATTCTCTGGTTTCACTCAACTTCACTGGCAACAAAATAATTGTTTAAGTTTAACATGGGGTGTAACAAACAACCATCAAATCAACCTTTAGTCTCTGGAACTGCTGATGGCCCTGTGAAGAGGCTGGTGGAGCTGCTGTGTGTCCATGTCCCGGCATCACTGAGGGTCCGTGAGACTGAACTGCTGGGCTGTGGTGGTGGGGTCCTGTGTGGACTGCTGGGCTAGGAGGATGCACACCATGTCCACCACTGTTTTGGGCCACAGTGGGAACCTAGGAAAGCATGGACATTTGAGTTAAAGGTTAATGCTGGTATAAAAGACGAAAAATAAAATAAAAATCACCACAGAGAACTCAGGGTGTGGGTCTACCTGGTATCCCTGTGGAACCGAGTACTGGACTGCTGTGGGTTGCATGTTATCTGCAGCGGCCTCATACACAGCTGGTGCTGGCGCTGGCGCAGGGGCCAGGATGCGATGGACGTGCTGAAAAGCTTCCGGGTTGGCAGCAAGACACCGCTGCTGCGATGCAAAAACCGTTTCCTGATCCTCCAAACGGCGTTTCATTATGAACTCATACTAACAAGAGCAGTGAGACCTGGGAAGAAGAAGAAGCATGAGGATTTTAAATCTGGACATTAAACATAAAGAAAATAAAAGTTTTTTTTCATCTCTACTGTGAATTTGACAAACATATTTGTTTTTCTATCCTTGTTAGGACTTTAGTAGCCTATATCCTAAACGTAAAAACAGGGGTCGACATAAGCATTGTTTAGGTTGTGTGAGACAACCTATTTTCATTTCAGAAAAACAGATCTCGCCTCCCGATTGGTTGTCCACCGAAAAAAAAGACAAAGTTTTCCGCCGCGGGTGTTCGTCATTGTAAAAAACGAAAGGGAGAAAAACTTGTTAAAGCCATCTAGGGATTAAACTGACGGTTCTTTCACCCAATAAAGAGAACCACAGTCAAAGTTTTACCCAATCAGAACAGAGCAGGGCGGGTCGTGCCATGACTGACAGTGGGTGCAGGTGAACACCAGCACCTCCCGGGAAAGTCCTCAGCGTTTCCTGGACTATTTTCCACAGAGGATTAAGTAATATATATCCTTTTAGTCTTTGGCTGATGCTTTGTTGCCTTATATGTGTTAGCTCAGCGCTAACACAACAAACAAGCTAAACTAGGTCCTCCATCCATATTTTCAGTTACAGCTGAGTCATTTTTGTGT